GGGAGGACGAGGCGGTGTCGTTCATTGAGCTGCCACCTAACAACCTGAGCAAGATACCCGAGAAGGGAATCCTGAAGAAGTCATATGGCCTCCTCACGCCAGCAGAGAAGGAGAAATGGGGTGAGGAGTCCCAGAGCGACAACAACGATGTTTTAAGTCAGAGTGATAACAATGCTGACCCTGATAGCCAAGTCTCTGAGGTGGAACGCACACTGAAGAGTCTGAACGGCTACCATGAGGACATCATTGATGCTCTCAAACGAGCTGCATCCCATCGGTCTGGAGCCACTTCCATGTCCTCTGATGAGCTGCACACAGCCCATCACGACACCTACCCTCGCTTCTCACACGGAGCTGCAGCTGTTGGTGGCCCAGCAGAATTCACTAGACTGAAAGCTTCACATGAAAAGCTTGCCGACTCAGGAGGAGAGGACGACCAGGTTCCACCTTGTGGTCCAATCCGCATTCGTAACTTGGAGGACTTGATACGACAGCTAGAGCACCATCCGTCACGTCACATGTCGCCGTCAGGGTCAGAGGAGATCAGAATGAGCGAGACGGAGGCCGATCGTCACTACCGCCTTGACTCGTCATCCTGCACAGAGTCTCAAGGGTCCGTCCCTGCACATCTCCCCCAGTCATCCCTTCCCAGCGGTATAACTGGCTTGCAGACACACCAGACAAAGAGCCCGATGCCTAGAAAGACCTCAGTAGCCACGAGAATATTCTGCAAAGATTTGTATATATTTGATTCATAAGACTGATTGAAAGGGCTCAGATTTTTTCATAAAATCATTCCTTTTTTTTTCTTTTTTTTTTCTTCTTTTTTTCTTATCTGGTGTGGCTGAATCTAGTAACCATATATATTTGTATACACTACTTCACAATTAGGGAGTTATTATATGTGTCAATTTGTCATTCTCTGCCACTATGGCAGTTTTGATGTTACTTTCATTCATTGAATTCCATTTCTTACTACACATTATTGGTGCATGTTCCCTACCCTGTTTTGTTGAACAGATATAGTGATAACAAAGCACTTTGTCTTGTTCAGAGAAACACCTGATAGTGCATGAAAAACATAGTTCAGGCTATGATTGTGCTTCTAAGCATCACAACAAAATTTTTTTGGCTGTAATTGCCATTAATTTTAGAAAATTAGAGGCATAAGCATAGAATTTGAAGAGAAGAAATTATAGCAAAGGCACCATCAAGGAATGCATTCTCCCTAATCTTTGCAGCTAAACCTCCTCATATCAGATATTCTTTTGCACTAATTATACTTGTAAGCAATATTAGTACTAGTAGAATAGGATATTACCCCTTGTTTACATTATTAAAAGATTTTTAAAATAATAATTTGTTGTATGATGAAATATGCAAAATATGCATGTTCTTAGTGAATTGAAGTAGTAATATAGCAGTATGATTTGATGCTCAGTGGCATTTCAGTGGCAATAATTGCAATAATAGAAGTAATTGTAATGATCAAACATAAAAAAGCAAACAAATCAAAATCTTATTTAAGTACATGAGTTGGGCACACCTCTTGTAATAGTTATCAAAATTCGAAGACTATCTTGATTACTAGTAGACAAGAATAAGAAGGAAAGAATTACAATATTTTGCCTTGAATTAGTTTTGTTTCTGATGTTTGTGTTCCCCTTTTCACACAAATGTAGTCATGTGCTCAAAATTTATAATCACAAATATTTGAAATGAACCATGGTTTATTGCTTCTTATTTATTTGGAATATCTAGTTTTTTTGGCAACACATTGAAGGAGATACTGCAGATGTCCAACTCCATTTTGTTCTAGAATTTTGCCAGCATACAGTCATTGCTGAATTAGATCTAGAAATATGGCTTTGACAATTCATGCATTCTGTTTGTGCCTTTACTTAGATTTTCCTTGAAGTAGATAATTTCATATTGATAATGTTTACAGTTTCTGAATGAAGTAGTTCACTCATTTTGTTAGTAATCTTTAAATGAATGATAACATGTTTGTTGTGCAGTATTTTATTATATATTTACTCATGATATGTTTCTTGTGTTTTTATATTTTTTATTATAAGAATCAAATTGTTAAGGGGTAGATTCCTACTAAATTAAAGTGAGATTTTTTTCTTGTGATGCCTCTGCTGACAATGAAGTATATATAAAAATAAAGAAACAAAATTTGAATAGGACATGAGGTTCAAGGCAGGAAGGCTGACTCCAAAAGTAGTTTACCTCATGAGCAGTTATTTGTTTATTAATAAGCCTTACTCTATGACTATCACTAAAGTTATTGGTGTTGTTACAGTTATGAAAACTAATAACAACAGTGTCACTGAAAATTGCCTTTAAGATGAGCACTGAATAAATTGCATGTCGAGCAAAATAAGTAGATCCTATAGTCAGGTGAAGTGGATCTTAAAAAAAAAAAAAAAAAAAAAAAAAAAACACATGACAAGATTTTGACAAAAAACACTATTCATGTTGAGATCAGAGGTCT